TTAACTACATCCTTTATCAACCAAACATCTTTTTATGTTGAGCCAGGAGGAGTTTTGGAAATCAAACCAAAACTTAGTGATGACTTGCTCCGTTGAGGTAATGAAGTCAGACCGAGGCTTGAAAAGGCTCAATCAAGACTTGTCATAAAGGAAAGAGAACTGTCTAAATTCTTCGGAATAAGGCGTCACACACAGATGGTTTCCTATTTTGCTTTAGGTAGTGTTAATCCCAAGATCATCCGACACCATATTAAAAAAGAAGCATTGAAATAAACTCCAAAAAGTACAGCACAAGCATGAGTGGCCTGCACCATACTTTGAATCTGCACATGGAGCCACAGCTCTGAACACTTTAGGTGCAAGTAAAAAATAAAAGTTCAAAACAGGCTTGTACTTTGTTTTTCAAAACAACTTCATTTTATGCTCCAAATATAAGACTGTTGAATCTTCTGAGAAGGAAAAAAAAAAAAAAAAAAGATCATCTTTGATCATGCAATGAGTTGATTTCAACAAGTAGAAATAAGGTAAAGAGACTTGATTGCAATGACTCTGTGTGAAACAGTGGATGTTATAAGCCGACAATTTGGCTCTTTATAAAATAGAAGTAATTTCTCCTCTATATTATTCCCCCTTTCATTTAGAAATGGCTGTAGTTTCCAATCATGGCAAGGGCTTGGCTGTCTTTCTTCCACCAAATGCTCTGCTAGCTGACAGGGATCATGGAGCTGTGAAAATAGAAATGGGAGGGGAAAGGCTGATAAAGAGTTACTTCAGGCAACATGATTTTAGTTTACAGATACAGGAATTAACAACTTACACGTCCCATAGGGAAAAGCAAGTATTCAGAATAAGGTCAACATGTTTTCATTCTTACTGTTCCAAAATTTTTTGGAGGCCAAAGGTCTTCAGAGGACAAGCCAAAGACCTCAAAATGCTGTTACCAGGCCTCCTCCACTGGAGCTTCATTAACAAATAAGAGTGTGGGTGAAGCAGCGACCTCCAAGAAGCACAAAGGCAGCTTCTCTGAATGGACAGAGCACCTGGGGCTTCCCTCTGCTGTCATATCATTAAGGCCAAAAAAGAGTGAAAAAAGAAACAAGTTTTCTTTTACTATGGTAGCATAAAAATCCTAAGGGCTTAAGGAAGTTTCTGTGTACGCTTTGTTTTTTAAATTAAACTTTCTATTTTCGTATACCATTGTTCATTTTTGTACACTTTTTAAAGCCAATTAACAGGGAGGTCGGGAAGCAGTGTGGCAGGAAAAACTCTTTAAGAGTTATAGGCTATGTATTTAATGCCACCAATGCATATGTAAATTATGGAAAAATAAGTGCTATAGAAATAAAAGGATTATGCTTGTTGGAATAGGAGGGTACCAGAGGATCAGATAAAATGCCGAGGCCCCTGAAAATAACAGGGCAACTGAGGAATCACCCAAGAGAGCAGTCATCCTTCCACCTGGGCTTGGGGACTCAGTATGAAAGCACCTGAAGCAAGAGCACTGGAAAAGATGCTCAGTGGCCCAAGAATCCACACCTCCGCTTCCCTTTCAGTGACAGCTGCAGAACACTTTGCGAGCGGCTGTGAAACATTAGAGCTGAAGGAACGGCACACAGGGCATAACAGGCACACACAACTGATGTTAGGGCAGAGCACACATGTGCACACAGAGTCAAAGCCAATTCCAGGAGAGTCTGGCAGTGATATTCCGCCATGCTGCTCATTACTTCAGAGGTGACATGAGAACAGTGGTCCAAGCAAAATATATTTCGAATCTTAGCCATTCTATTTTAGAAACTAATTTTTGATTTGGCACAGAAGGTTTAGTATTTTTAATGGCCTTGTTTTCCATGGATGCTTATTGGTGTCACGTGAGAAACACAGTAAAAATCGGTCTTTACTGTTTCAGAGCAAGAGAAACACACAGAGGTCTGCCTGCTACTGTTTAGGTGCCTGTGTCATGTACTGTTGTCAACAGTGTCTCATTAGAAAAGCTGTGTGTGGCCCCTCAAGTCATTAAGTCCAACTGCCATGTGTTCTCTGTATCTGCCAGGTCCCAGTATTCAACTTCCAGGAAAGAGAGCTGATGCTTTAACTTCAATGAAAGTTTAATTTCAATGTCTTTCTTTTAAACATTCAAAACTGGAAGAAGTCAGAGTTGAAACAGTTGTTCACTTTCCTTTCATCCACTAATTTACACATGTCTAGCAAAATAAATCACTTTCAAGTCCATAAAAACGACATGGGCTCATTCAAATTTCTAGCAGAAGAAGATATGGTTCACAAATCCAGTTAAAATATGGAGATGCAAGGTTCCGAAGAGGCGCATTGGACTGCTGGTGAGATGGGACAGCTGGCACTGGAGTTCCTGATCTCCCATCAGAGATACAAGTGGCCAACTAACTTCAGAGAACAGGCTAGTGGGTCTCTAAAAAAAAAAAAGACCTACTTAAAAAAAAAAAAACTATTTTTATCTCTTCATTTACCAAAGTAAGGAGCTAGCTCTGGGAAGGAAATGTTGTCAGTTGGTGGTGAAGATGAGTTTAGTCTCATTTTTCCATGACATCAATTATTCTGATTCCAAAACTAAAAATACTTCTGAAAACATAGCAGTATTGAAGACTGCTAATGAGCTAAGCTTTAGAATTATCTAAAATAATAAGTTAAATAACATTCCACTTTCTCTTAATTATTGAGTTCCTGATAATAAAAGTGAACTTGCATTCACACCTCGGTACCACATTTGCCCAGCGGCTCATCTGGTGATATGCTTTCACGTGCCGGAGATACAAAATGAGAATGCAGTCAGTTAATCACATGCTGTGATCAGAGTGCTCTTCAATGCTCTTATCTTCTCTCAGTTGTACTTGGAGGGCTTCCTCAAAGAATTTTCTGAAAGTTCTTTGGCTGTGACTGAACCAAGAATGACTTTTAGATTTTCATTAGATGACTGTCAACGTCATAGCAAGTTGACACATTCACAGCCAAGATAGAGTCAGCCACTATGTCAATTCAGGACCTTTGAGGGTGTGAGTTGGTTAAGTCTTGCTCAAGGGGGAGGTTGAGGAAGTGCCTGAGTCATCAGAGAGTAACTTTCTGAGAGGCAACTCTTTAGAAGGCAACCTGCCAGAAGTGGAGAATCAGACAAGTGATTGGGGCCAGCAGTTATGATGTCCTGCCCAATGGAATGACAGGCAAGAAATACCCTGATTCCTAAAGAGTTCAGTAATATGTATGTTCTGGATTGTAGTGTCAATGCTGAATTTAAACTGTTTTGTGAAAAAAAAATTAAACTGCTGGCTTTGAGAGATGGTTTGTAAATTACTGGAAAATTAAGAGAAGCAAATTGTACTAAAAAAAAAAAAAAAGAAGAAGCGAACCTAAGTTCGAAGATGTGGGATGGATGCAGTGTAAGAAACCCTAAACTCTTAAGAAACATGCAGAGATTTCCTATGCTATTAGAGTCCAAAGTTATATATGTTAGAATATATATTACATATGTTAGTTATGTATGTTAGAATCTATGTTAAAAATGCAGCATCTCACACAATAATTTACTGAGGATCATCACATAAACTCAGTACTTATATTTTACCACTTATTTTTAAATTCATGTTCAACGCAAGTTATGATTTGGTTCCCTTTCCAAAGTCACACAATATAAAAACAAGACAGACAAAAGAATGAAAGCAGGCACAAAAGTGAATCAGAATGACCTCACAATCATTCACAGGGAATACTGTGAAGTCCAGTTTTCCTATTTTCCTTCTCTCTTGAAAGGCACTTGCTTTCACGACCAAGGGTGTAGGTGTGACCATAAAATGGTGATCTTGATTCTCAAAAGTGAATTATAGAACTAGCTACGTACCTTAATCCTTTTGTAGAGGTTACATATATAAAAGTCATAAACAAAGAAATGAGCGATTGATTGATTGGAGCAAGTTTAGTAAGGCAAGCAAAATACAATTCTATTCTCTCTAACATTATGAAATCCATAATAATACATTGGACCCAAAGACTCAGAATTGAGCCAATGAACGACTCTCCCAATCCTGAAAAACCTATTAAAGGATTTTTCAAGCTATACAAATCAACATTCAAAACTCAGAAATTGATTTTAAAATATATTTCATATTTGAGAGATTTCTGATAATGTAAAAATAATTGCCTCACATCCCAAATCTCAAAATAAGGGACATTTGTTCCTAATTGGAGAAAGATAATGTATTAGTTAAAGCCTAACATACTGTTTATAATCTTGTTTGTAAACCACTTGAATTTTAAATAATAATTAACTTTGTGCTCACCTGAGGTATTCAGACCTTCCTCTGAGAGATGACTGTTAAGACGGGCTCTCTGGATAATGCCTGATGTGACTCCTCTCCCTCGAGAGCAGAGGGCAAAGTCCCACATCAGCCAGTGGTATGTTTTCCACGCTAATTCTTTTCTAGTAAAGTGGGGGTTTTCAAGGAAAACCAGGCATTGCCAGAAAAGAAACATGTCTCTGGGCCAGGAGGAATGAGTCTTTTGTCTCAACTCCCCTAGAAGGAGTCAGTTGAGCTTTCCTCTGCATGCCAGTCACCTGTGCGGGGAGTAGCTGCTGCCTGTGGAGGTGGATGTGTCCCTGCCTGATTAAACACTACAAATTAAGAAGCATCCTAGGTGTCACTTCTGATCCTTAAATCTGGGAGGATACTAGGCCAGAACTTTTGCGCACAGAGAAGTGAAGTATTTTCTCTTGCGCACAGAGAAGTGAAGCATTTTCTCATCACCTTAGGCCAGAGAAGGGCAGTGACTAGGCTCTGGATGGAACATTCCTAGTCATTTAGTAGTGGCAGCAGTGGTAGAGTGAGCCTAGAAAAGGAATAGAGATTCAGCACAGAGAGGCATGAAAGCATCTTGTCTCCAGACAACAGAAGCCCATGCATCGAGAGGAAGCGGGAAGCCAAGCACCATGCAGGTGCCCACTGACAACCGAAACGGCTCTGCCTGCCACCAACCTGCTGTGACCCTGCATGTCCCCCAGCTCCTTCTGCAGCCTGGCGTTCTTCTCCTCTTCCTCAAGCAACCGCCTCTTCACCGTGCGCAGTTCCTGCTGAGCTTCACACTTGATGTCATTGGCCACCACCACGGCAGTCTGCAGGTCTGCCTGAAACCGCCTCCACTCCTCGGTCTCCTCCTGGAAAGGGCAGAGCCCACACCCTTCAGATGCCTGCCAGGCTGGTGTTGAGGCAGGGACTCTAGGACCCCCATGTCATCACCAAGAAAGCCTGTCTGCGTGGTGCTTAGTGAGGCACTGCTTTAATGCTCTCATTACCCTGCGAAGGCACAGGACGAATTATACCTTCGTGGGAGTGGAGCCCTCATCCTGAGAGTGAATGGCTGCTCCAATATTACTTCCTGCCAACACTAGTTTGTAGCTCTAGTAGGGTCCATGCCATGGAAATGCACTATGAGAGAGAGAGTAACAAGGGTAATTTCCAAAAGTCTCGAAACCTAAAACAGGGATATCTGACAGTAAAATAATGGAGGTTCCCTGCCATCACTCTCACACACCTTACCTTTATCTGTTTAGTCAGAGTCTTCAGTTGCCTTTCCAGGTCTGATTTCTGTTCCTCTAGCTTCATCACATTGCCTAAAAATAAACAAGTCAGACAGGAGTTAGAAAAGTTGTAAAACTCTCGAGAGAAGGTGAGGCAGGGCCCTCCCTGGTGGCGCAATGAGTTAGGATGCAGCACTGCAAACAAACTGTAACCACTGCAATTTGAGTTCAATCCCCGGCTCTGGACGTAACCCACATGGCATGGCAGACCTCTCTTGACCTGCCCACTGCACCCCTCAGCAGTGTTCTTTGTCACTCTTTCTATTCTGCTCCCCATTCTGTCTCTGGTGAATCCTCTCACTGCCCCTGCACCTCTGACCTGTACCCCAGTTCTGTATGCATAAATAAATAAGTCTTTAAAAAAATAAAATAGAATAAATAAAATCAGAAGGCAAGGCAGGTGGCAAAGGAGCAGCTCTGCATCCTGCAAGGGGCTTTAAAATCTATATCTGGTACTACTGACACCATGACACTGTGTTCAGCACCTACACCTTCCTCCAAGACAGAAAATGGGATGATTTAGAAAATAAGTGGTGCTGAGGCAGGCTATAACCTCAGATGTCCATGACAGACTGTACAACCATGTAATACTGCAGGAAAACTCCCAGTTATTATACATATACTGATTTCACACAGTGCTTTGAATGCCTTTTACTGCTGTGAAGTAAAGGGCTTTGTTATAGCAGAGGACATGATGGCTACATCTATTGTGAGTCTTAGGCCAATTTCTAGAGTCATGACTCTTAAACCTCAGAGTCACTCAAGAAGCTTTCCCACAGTGAGATGTTCAAGCCCTGGACTCTGCCCCACGGAACCCAGGGCTAGATAAGGGTGTGTGTGTGCTTGTGCATGTGTGCACGGGTGCACACATGGACAGTTCCCTAGTTGATCTGACTCTCTTTGAAGAACATCTTCATCCCTCTGCCTCCAATTCTCTCCCTAATCGCTATCAGTCATTTCCATTTAAATTCAGTCAAGTCCATTACAAGTTAAAATTCTTCAGTGGATCCTCACGTTGTCTTTAAGAGCAGCAGATGTCTGTTAAGGATATTAATCAGAGTTACCAGAGAAGCCTAAAAAAACATATGGTCAGATATACTCCAACTGTTGTACATCAGCACATGGGGCCTGAGAATCTGTTTGGGGTCAATGCTACAGGACAAGAAACACTCCTTAACTTCTTTTTACTTTTCTTGCCCTTTTTCTCAAGGATCTTATGGAGAGAAGTGATTAGTTCTAGGGCTGGATGAATGTCCCTGGGTCACCTAGGAAAAACACATTAAGCACAATACCTTAATATCCCTGACTGAATTAGAAAGCTTCTCAAGGGACATGACACCTGTATTATTTTCAATCTTGGATATGTTATGATATAACCACAGGGAGAGGGTGTGACATCTCCTCTGGACATTAATTATATGCTGGCTTTCTTGGTGAGTCTGTCCAGACTTTTTAAAGACTTGGGGACAATACAATCAAATTCTTAACAGTAATTTACACTCAAAAGGAAAACAAAACAAAACTTCTCTTTGACATTACACTTTCCAAGTGTGGCACTGTATTTAGAATCATACACAGTGGCGGGTGGGACTTGTGCTGTATCTTCAAGCACGATTACAGAGACTGCTCGGAATGACACTCAGTGCTGCTATTCACATGTAGTTCTCTCACATAGCACATACAATGAAGAATGGAATGGACCCTCTGGAATGGACACTGTCAACTCTGGCACTAGCCCATTCACCCAGGTGTAGAATAGTTAATTCTCACTATTTGTGGTAGTTACATAAAGTCTCCATGCACACACAATGAGCAAATAGTGGAGCTCTTTTGGGAAGACAAAACTATGCTCCTGCGAGCTTCTGCTCAGAACATTCCTGTCAACATAAACACTGAACTCATCATAAGGCTCACTTGCCACCTGTGTGAAATAAGCCCATCTCGTCAGTGCCAGAAGCCTGCTCTTCCACCTCCACCCCCCCACCCCCTATAACACTCAGCAGGTATTTTAAAAGTTCGATTGGTCTCCTGATCTGCCTCTCCTGTCTGTCTTTGACTCTCTTCATGCAAAGTGGCCTTTTGAACCCAGTGTCACACAAAAATAGCCAAGACATGTTTCTGAGCCTGGGCAACGTGACCATACACTTCTTTGGTTTTTAACTTCACAACAATGACGCATTTTTTAAAAATCAGCCATTATTCTCACGATTCCATAAATTTAGCCACTTTTCTATCTTTTCCATTATGGACGATGTGTTAGCACTTTCTAAAGTAATTTCATGCACAGATTGGTGAATTTTCTTTCTCTGAAATGTTTATTAACATGCAGCAATTTACTGGACAGTTAATTTGTTAACATTAAATTCAGGGTCAAAAGCACTATAACTGAACAAAGCTTATCTAACATCTATGTATTTTCCATAAGGTAAAAAGGAGGGCACTATATAAACTGGAACTGGTTTACAGTACAAGACTTGAAAGAAAGTGTTGGATCAACTTGTTCTACCTGAGCTGGGACTGCATTTTGGGAGACGCAAATGTTTCACCATGGCACATGCTCACTATGAAAGTGCAGCAAGTATTGAGCTGGGGATTACAGATACATTTTGGCAAGCAGGTGAGTTAAGAAAAATACAATCAGGCTCTCCCTGGTGGCGCAGCCAGATAAAATGCAAAACTGCAAACAAGCTGTGGCCGCTTCAGTGCGAGTCCAATCCCCAGCCCCGAGATGACCCACATGGCACGGCAGACCTTTCCTGACCCACCCACTGCTCCCCTCAGCAGTGTATTTCCTTGATCAGCCTATTCTACTCCCCTCTCTGTCCCTGGTGAATTCTCTCACCCCCCTCCCCACTTCTGGCCTGTACCTCAGTTCTGTATGAAAAAATAAATATTTCAAAAAAAAAAAAAAAGAACTATAATCAAGGATAGCTGACATGTTGGTTGGTACATGTTGAGGAACTTTTCAGGCAACTGAATAAGCTGTTTTTTTAGCAATGGCTAGTGTCATTAAAAGCTCTGTGCTTTACAAAAACAAAACACATTAGATGTGATAATTTGAGAAGGTTTATTTGGACAATGCAGGCAATATTTAACTAATCTCTTTTAAAAATGTCTTTCCTATTCAAAGCAAACAGTGAGTCATAAACAAGCCATAGAATGGTGCCTCTTCAATAACTAAGGGGCCAACATCTCTAAGTTATTTGATATCCTACCATCTGTGGGACACAAGCTGTAATTGGTGTCTCCTAAGAGCAAAAGTTGTTCACATCTGTCTGACCATGTCATGTGTCTTTCTGTCCATCAGACCTAAAATATAATGCACTGTTAAGGCGTGGTGAGTGTGGTCAGCAGCATGACTCACACAGCACACCCAATACTCCAAAGTTTATTTGCTCTTTTCTATAATCACTCTACTTTGTTGATTCACAGTCAACAATCTATTCTTCTACGTCACTCACTTTTCTGCTTGGTTTAAGAGATTAATTATTCTGTCTTTCTTAAGTGCTATTCTTCTTAGATTACAGAGCACACAGCAGGGAGACTTTTCAAAGCCCAGACAACACACCTCCTTACATACCCTTTTAATGTCACCCTTAGCTACCAGTGCCTTTTGTATCCTACTCACTCCTGATCCACACTGTGCAGGGTTTGATCCCACTTACTTTCTAGCTCATTGATGAGTTGGTTGTTATGTAACTTGACAGCTCTGTGTTGTTCCACTTGATCTTCTAATTCAAATATGGTTTCCTTCATGTCTTTTATCTCTGCATCACTCTCTGATGCTTTCTCTTGCAGTTTTAGGCTGGTTCTGCTTAGCTGCTCTGCTTGATGGTCACATATCTCCTTCAGATAAGAATAATCCTTTTCCATCTAGAATAAAAGGAAGATTTCCCTGGTCAGTTTAACAGAAAAATATTCCCCACATTTCAGCCTCAGGCCCATCAGAACAACAGCAAAGGAAGTTCTTGGCATGTACTATATACCCACTATTGTATCCTTATTATAACCTCAAATAGCCAAGGCTATAAGTATACAGCTAAAGAGGATGTGTATACATGGTCAGTGGGTGGCTTCTCTGCACATTTCTTCCAGCCTACAGCTCACATGTGCTTAAATTCCCTTCTTTCCTGTGCTTCCCTGGGAGGTTTAGGTTCTGTACTGGGAGGATAGCTGGCCCAGCTGCCTGGGTGAGGTCTCATCTCACATCTGCTGTGGAGCAGCGCCCTCTGCTGATGAACCAAGAACAGGACCCCTGAGACCTGTCAGATCCCCTAAAAACTCAGTCTCTTCAGACACACAGTGGTTTCACTTTCTTTAAAGAAATACATTAGTGTCATAGCACTAACTTAAGGCATAAAACTTAGAAATATGCATGCATAAGATATATAAATGTGGTGTAACATATCCTTTTTAATTAAATATTTTAATTATACACAAAAGCATTCAAAGTAATGAGATTACCATACACTCAAATATATTCAGCAATGGTTAAACTTTGGCACATTTACTTTGACAAGATGTATTAAGGTTCAGATCTTTCCACCCTGTGCCCTGCCCTTCCCTCCAAGTAATATGCTTTACTGGTGTGCGGTTATTTCTTAAATGTTTTTCACCTTTACTGTATATATGGGTGTGTGTCCATGATGATACAAAGTCTTGTTCTGGATACTTTTTAATGTTCACACAAATAAAATTACACTATAATATGCTTTTTCAGTGCATTGTATTGTAACTTCATATGGTAGCATGTTTTTGCCTTCAACTATTTTATCATGCTTTTGAGACTTGTTTTAAACCATGTTTTTGAGATATATCCATATTAATAGACATGACTCTAGGTCATTACTATAAATATTGCATAGTATTATACTGTCTGAATATAATAATTATCTTATTATTGTGAACTATGCGCTGTCTCTGTAGTCCTTCAATTTATGATCCCAAATAGCTGAGTATTTAAACTTGATGCCTTATAGATTTTCTCCTAGAGTTGGAGGTATGGGACCTCCATATTTAATACAATTTTGTCCCTATTACACTTTATGCACAAAATATTCTGGCTATCAGTTCTATGGAGACAGGAACGCCGTGTGACTTTTTTTTTAACCACTGTATCTCTCGTATCCACAGAGTCCGACACAAAAGAGGAACATTGCAAGGCAGTATTGCAATTCTTTTCAATCAAGAGGTTGTAATAAATAAGTGAAGAAGAAAGGAAGAGTAGGGGAGAGAGAATAAAAAGAGACAAGCAGTTGAGAACAGAATACACTGCTTGTGTTCTGCGTGGGGGTTGTTCTGTAACATCTGTGTTTTAATTATAAAGGGTGTGTGCTTCTGGACATATCACTGCAGGTTGTAGTTTAAAAAAAAAATGTGCTAAAACACATCATGGTGGCCAAGGATGTAAGCTGAAGCCCCATTGCCAGAGTCTAAATCCCAATTCTCTCAAGCCGAGTTCTTTAATACAGAACTGTGTTCTTTAATTCCTCTTTCCTTAAGTGAACAATGAAGTGAAATAATGTACTTAGAAGAGTTAGTTCCTGGCTAAGTTTTTGTTTCTCCAATAATTGTTTTATTATCTGTCCAATATTAGTTAAGAACACAAGTCCAAGTAAATCAGAACACATGGGAAAAGACTGTTAGATCTGATGATAGCTACTTGAATAAAGGGAAGGCAACGTTTAAGGAGAAAGCAGGCACTGCATTTTAGATACCAGAAGGCTGGTGTCTGACAGACATGAGCTGCATGAACAGAAGGCGCTGTGAGTCCTGCATTCTAGTCTGACGGGGCCTGGCATGGAGCTGGCTGGGTCCATGTCCCTCAGGCTGAGGCTGTCTTCTGTAGTTCAGAGACACACACAGTACCTGACCGGGGCTAGCATGTGTCAGCAATAAGACCAGAGGCAGGTACAACTAGATAACTGAAGGGCTGAAGATGCCGAGGAGAGTCTCTGTGGTGGTGGAAGCTCCGACCTTCCTTTATTTCCTAGGTGTTGGCTCCTCAGGACCCCAGGCCCAGAATGGTGAGCATAGGGGCCAGCAGGGGCCCTGGGAAGAGGGTCCTGCAGACAGCTGGGATGGGTGAAACTACAGATCACTGCACTGTTTCCAAACACACACAGCTTGCCTTTTCAATTCAGGATAATTCTCCCAAGTTTAACTCCAGAACAGACTTTTATTTAAAATAAATAAATAAACAAGCAACCCTTAGCTCTTCACACCTTCTTTCCATAGGGCCCATAAGTAACAAAAGGTATCTTTGTGTTCATTTTACAATTAACAAATGGAGAGGGAGAAATCAAATCATTAGATATAATAATCTGATTTATCAAGTTGGCTGAAGTAAAACCCTGCCTAGGCACCTCCCTTTGCTGCACTTTGCAGATACTGCATGTTTTACAAATCAAAGGTTTGTGGCAACCCAGCATGTAGCACTTCTAGCAACTAGTTTTCTAAGTGTGTATTCATTTCCTGTCTCTGTATCACATCTAATTAAGGAATATACACTGCTTTTTAAAAACACAATGCTTCTGCACACATAGGTTACTTTACAATAAACATAGTTTTTACATGCACAGGGAAGCCAAAGACTTGGAGACTCGCTTTATTGTGATATTCACTTTGCTGCGCCTGTCTGGAAGCAAAGCGCAGGGTCTGTGGCGCCTGCACTGTAGTGGCTGCTACAGGCTTCCTCAGCACACTGGCCTTTCTGCTGGTCAGTTCTTTTGAGTCTAGCTTCTCTAGTTCAAGAATTGCACTTGGTCTCCAGCAATATGATTTTCAATGTTTCCCTTTAAAAAAAGAAACCACTTTCATGCATACCCCCACTTTATCTAGGAATGGGCTTACAAAATTGAATTATAAATCAATTCAAGTGAAATTCCCAAAGGCACCGGCCCTTTCTGGACAAGGGTCAGTTAAAACACCATCTCTCATAGGCCAAACACTACACGACATACACTTCAGCAACATCTTTGAAGATACAGCATCCAATGCAATGATAGTGAAGGCAAAGATAAATAGATGGGACTACATCAAGTTAAAGAGCATCTGCACAGCAAAAGAGACATTACAAAAAACAAACAGACATCCCACTGATTGGGAAAAAATTATCTCACACAAAACTAGCGACAGGATTGATCACAAAGACGTACAAAGAACTGATGAAACTCAACAAAAATAAACAACCCCATCAAAAAATGGGCAGAAGAGCTAACAAGACGCTTCTCCAAAGAGGAAATGCAGATGGTCAACAAGCATATGAAAAAATGTTCAACATTACTTGTCATAAGGGAGATGCAAATTAAAACCACAATGAGATACCACCTCACCCCAGTGAGAATAGCACATCCTCAAACAACTAGCAACAACAATGTTGGCGAGGATGTGGAGAAAAAGGGCTCTCCTGCACTGCTGGTGGGAATGCAAACTAATACAAACTGCTAAACATGGAGCTTCCCTACGACCCAACAATCCCACTCCTAGGTATCTACCCAAAAGACACAAAAACACCGATTCAAAAAGAAACCTGCCTCCCCATGTTTATTGCTGCTTTATTTACAACTGGAAAGACATGGAAACAGCCCAAGTGCCCAAAAGTGGATGACTGGATTAAAAAGATGTGGTACATATACAAAATGGAATATTAGTTAGCAATCAAAAACACACACATGCTTTTTGCAGCAACATGGATGGAGCTGGAAAAGATCATGCTTAATGAAATAAGCCAGAAAGAAAAGGAAAAATACCAGGTGGTTTCACTCATAGCAGGAGTATAAGGGACCAGGCGAGAAAATAATGAATAGCTGTATTCCAGAGACATTTTATGGGGTGGAGTGGGGAATGGGATCAAAAACAGTGGGGGGGAGGGAAATGCACTGGACTATGGTGATGGCACATGGGTGATTTGGTGATGGGAAGCCCACGGGGATTATAACTGAGATGGAAAAATGCACAGAATGATGTAAAAATGGACTATTATATTATTTATACAAAACAAAACAAACAAACAAAAAAAACACCATCTCTGAGGCTCTGACAACCACCAAAGGCAGAGAGAGGGCAGCAGAGACTACTCAGGAATCTCCAGCAGGTCACAGCCAAAAATGCAAGTGACTAAAAAAGAAAAAGGAAAAGAAAAGATAAATTGGATTTCAAATGAAAACCTTTTGTGCCTCAAAGGACTCTATCTAGAGAGTAAAAAGAAAACATTTCCAAATTACATAAAGAACTTACCCAACCACACAATTCAGTGATAACAAGATGGGCAAAGGATTTAAATCGATATTTCTTCAAAAGAAGGTGTGCAATAAGGACATGAAAGAATGCTCAAAACCAGTAATTATTAGGAAAAGGCAAATTAAAATCCAGCGAGACACCTTATCATATCCACTAGGATGGTTATAAAAATAATTTTAAAACCCAGAAAATAAATATTAGTGAGGATGTAGAGGTATTTTGGGCCCCTCATACCCTGCTGCTGGGGGGATATAAAATGGCATATCCACTAGGGAAACCAACACATTGGTCAGTCTTCAAAGAGTTCAATGAAGAATTACCACAGACTCCACATTCCACTAATATGTACATAATCAAGAGACAGGAAAACAGGTACTCACATAAACCCTATACACAAATATCACAACGATATTATTCTTGATGGCCAGAGAGTTAAAACAACGCCGATGACCATAATGATCAATGGAGAAACCAAATGCAGTCCGGCGTCCAGTGGGACAGCACTCAGCTATGAAAGCAGGAAGTGGCGAGCCACGCCACCACATGGATGAACCTTGCCGATGTTATGCTAAGTGACAGAATCCAGACACAAAAGCTTCTTGTGTTTCATGACTCTACTGAGATGAAATGTC